CGCATACCGACCAAAGTGACCAGCGCATTACTTATTTTTGTAGAGATGCGATTAGTGTCATTTCTTGCCAGTCCAGTAGATTAGGCCATCTACTTTAACAACACTAGGTTCCAGCCTTTTAGATCCACATAATTTTGGAGATTTCAGGGATCCAGCTCCGCCTTGTGTGAAAAGGAGAACGCGAAATGGATGAACTATGAATGAAGTGAGTACATATAGGAAACCCTGATTGGGTTGTACCCCCTATGGGATACCCCACTATAGCCTACACAACAGCATAAGCTATATAATGTTCTGACACACCCCCATAGGCAAAGTGGGGGAGAACAAGGGGTCACAAGACCAGTCACGCAATGCACAGCAAGCTCAGGGTGGATCACAAAGTCACCACACAGTCCGAGCACAACGACAAGGCCACAAGGCCAGTTCACATGCAGGAGGACACATATATATATAGAGCTAGACAAGCAAGAGCAGGTATATAGATGTGACAGTACAAGCAAGGTCAAGAGGAGAGCAAGTGAGGCAAGACAGGTACAAGACCCAACTGAGTGCAGAAGTGCTGATGGTCACAAGGCGCAAGTGCCTTGGTGAACACATCAGCAGTGTTGGCCTCAGAGGCCACGTACGCAAGTCGCAACTGACCACGCTGCTGCAGCTCACGAGCAAGAAAGTAACGGAGAGCAATGTGCTTCGTTCTGTGCTCCAAGCGCTGCTCTCGACACAAGGCCAGCATGGCCTTGTTGTCTACGTACAGCACTGGAGGAGAACGAGGCTGCTCTCCAAGGTCAGTCAGCAGGTAGGTGAGCCAGCGAAGCTCCTGTGCAGCCATGGCCCCGGCGTAGATCTCAGCCTCACAACTGGAGCCGAGAACAGAGGACGAGCGAGTAGCCCGCCACGAGACAGAGCCGGAACCAAGACTGAAGGTGTAACCCTGCGACGACCGCTGCGTAGCCTGGTCGTCAGCCCAAGAAGCGTCCGCGTGCCCAGTGAGGACCACTGGACTCCGCCCTCCAAGCACTAGCCCCATGCCCGACGATCCTTCAGCACCAAGAAGTAGCGGCTGCCGTCCTTAGCTGCTTCACGGAAAGGGCCACACAGGTCAGCATGCACCACCACGAGCAACTCATCCTCCTCCTCTCCCACAGAAGGAAAGGTATGACGAGTTATCTTTCCCCCAACACAGGAGACACAAGGTATGCCTGACTTGCCCCCCTTCTCCAAATCCAAGCCCTTCACTGACCCGTGAGCCGCTGTGCGCTCGATGGCATCAATACCAACGTGTGCCATACGCGCATGCCACAGGTCCCCCTTAGACCGTACGCCGGTCGGCAAGGTACGAAGTGCCACCGTTTCGCCTTCCTGCTGCTGCGTCGAACACGGCTGGAAGTTCGTGCAGAGAACACGCCCCTTGAACTCCGCACGACCAAGGAGCGATCCATCTGGTGCCCGCAGCAAAGTCACATCCCCGGCATCCAGCAGCTGCACACCACTATCACGCAGCTGCCCAGCAGAGAGAAGACTCGCCTGCACTCCTGGTACGTACAGCACGTCCGGCACCAAGACACGCCTGCCCCCCTCCCCAAGAAGAGCGTCTGTGCCTCGCCCCTGCACCTCCTGAAGGGCGCCGTTGAAGCCGGTAACCTGCTTAATGCTGCCGCCGCTGCTCATCTCCACAAAGGCAGAACGATCTCCCATGAGATGGTGGGAGCATCCGCTATCAAGCAGCACGACGCTCGGGTTCGCCTTCACAGCAGCTGCAACAACCTGTAAGCCCTCCCCGGCCTCAGGCTCTAGCACAACGAGAGGAGTCTGCTCCACAACTGGCTTCACCATCGCACATGATGACTGCCCGCTCCCCTTAGAGCCATCACCCCCCTTTCCGCTGCTACCTCCAGAACCCTCTCCACCGGTGTCTGCCTCCTTATCCGCCCGCTGCTGACAGTACTTAGCAACATGCCCTATTTGTCCACACACATAGCACTTCCCCTTGAAGCCCCCTTTCCCCCCCTTCGGCTGGCCATCCTTACCCCCTTTCCACTTCTCCCCTCCCCCACCAAGCCCACCCCCATTCTTAGGCTGCTGCTGCTGTGCCGTAGTGGGAGGGGAAGGGAATGAAGTCTGCTGGAATTGGGGCTTACCCTTCTTGGTAAAGACCTGGTTAGCCTGGGGAAGAAATTGGTCCTTTCGTCCCTCTGCCGCCAGCGTACACTCCTCCTCGATGATGTAGCTAGCGAGGGTGTCCTCGTCCAACTCCTTGCGAACCTGCGGCAACTTCAGCATCCTGCGTAAGAGGTTGTACTGCTGCGGCAACCCCTTCACAACGTGAGTGATGTACGACGCCTACGAGTAATCTACGCCGGCCATCCTCAGGTTCACTAGGATCTGCTGCGCACGGTTGCAATAGGACGTAGCGGACTCGTGCTCTCCCATCTCGAGGTTAGTGAGCGCCTGCTCTAACTGACCGATGTACAGATCGTCCTTCGTCATGTACGTGCGCATAATAAACTGCCATGCCTGATAGCCGGCATCGACCTTCATGCGACACGCCTTAAGGGCGATCTGTACGGTTGGGGAGCAGCATCGGGAAATGGTGGTGAATGTCAGCAACTGCATCGCGCGGAACTGAGAGAGATGCGCAAGCGCACGCGCTGGTGGAATGGGGGTGGTGCCATCTATGAATCGCTTTAGCTGAGCGATCTCAAGCTACGGCTCGATTGATTCTGTCCACGTCGACAGGTCGTGACGTCCTTCTAACGGCCTAGTGACAACGATCTTGTCTGGAGTGAATCTGAAGTAGCCATAGTTGGGGGCTATTCCCTCGTCCCTCGACATCGATCCAATCGGGGTAACGCCCGGCATAGCCTCACTATCGAACTCTTCCGCAATTCCTCCTCCAGCAACGCTCCGCCGTCCTACATTCGCATGCTCTCGTGACGCTGCTGCACGATGAACACGCTCCTGTACACCGCCAACGCTAGCCGTACTAAACCGAGTTGGTCCTCGCAGGACCCCACGCGACATCAACCCATCAAACTCCTCGTCATCGCTATTTCCGCCATCGACAGCCATATCCCACGCACTAGTACCTCCCGCAACTTGCTCAACATTCTCTACACGTGGCGAAGGGTGCTCACGACGCCGACGCGAGCGCAATCCCTCCAACATTAGCTCGTATTCGATATCACTAATCTCACCACGAGAATGACGAGCCACGAGATCCTCCTCTAGGGCGCGCAAATTACCGGCCTCCACGTTCGCCTCCTCTGTACTCATCCTCTACGACGTCTCTATAAGGTACCACAAATTAAAATAAAGTGCCCCTTCCTTAAATCCCTCGTCTCGGGGTCACCTCACAAGGGTCCTCAGACGAGTGGTAATAAATTACCAAACGCCCTATCCTTGGGTCCGAGAACGTAACTGGAGGGAAATCAAGAGAGGTTCACCTTAGATTAATAAGCGCCCTTCACTAACGCCGCACGCCAAGGCGAGTATACGAACGCGAATATCAACGACGACGGAAATCTATGCGTGTTCGTTCCACGCTCACCGCACCATGAAGGAATATATTAGAGAGCGTAGCGATAGCGAGAGAGTCTCTGCTATGGGAATGATGTTGCGCCAGCAACTTGGTAGAGTTTTGGTAGCGTTTGCCTCTAAGGACTTTGTGAGAATTGAAGTAGCATTTGGGCCAAGTAGAATTGCAATATCAATTATCAAACACACAAGCAAACACAAACATATATAGGCAAGCAAGAGTTGCACAATTGTTGCATGGCGCTGCGAGTAACCCAACCCACACGAAAGTGCTGTGCAGGTGGGTGAACGCGCCCCGCACATTTCCAACCCAGCACCAGAATGTCTCACCGTGCATGCTACTCCTGCCAACACAATACCGGAATGTCTCTCCGTGCATGCTACTCCTGCCAACACAATACCGGAATGTCTCTCCGTGCATGCTACTCCTGCCAACACAGGAAGTGAGCAGCGTGCCTCACAAGCAAGGCACCTACGACCCCCAAGACTCGTCATTCCTAGCACCGATTCCGCCGAGTTCGCTGCAGTAGCTCACAGTCACCCGTAGTCACTAATGACCGCCACCGAACTCGTGCGGTGCGATTAGACTCAGTCGTTAGGCGCCGACCTGCCAAGTCAAAGGTCATCGAGGGCCCTTGCTGTCGTAGGGCCCTCTAACACGAAATCCGTCCGACGGGTGCCTAGAGACTCCATCCCCTCGCAATAATTATAATCATGATTATCCGTTACGGGACGACGGAACCAAGCAGGAGGACGAGAAACGTTTCTCCTTACCGCACGGATTTTTTTCGCTTCCACTACGCGACGCGATTCCTAGCGGTTTCGACGCGAATCCCAGCGGTTTCCGTGGAAATTCCTCGCTTCCGCTACGCGACGCGACTCCCAGCGGTTTCGACGGCGCCGAACGCGGAAACGTCCGTCCGGATTGTCGCCGTGTCTCACGCGAGTCGGAGGAGCCGCGTCGCCCAAATAGTCCTTTCGGCGCTTCGGATGCATCCTCTCGCTCATTGCGCTACGTCGATGATGGATTCTGTGCTTCGCCGATCTGTGTAGACATTGCTACGAGGACTGACGGCCGAATCCATAGCAGCACGCATCAGAATCCCCAGCAGCAGCACAAGCAGCAGCAGCAGCAGCAGCAGAGCCAGAAGAGACGGCTAGGAGCTTTTAAAAGAGGACGCGTCTCGCTTCAGATGCTCGACACGTGGCTTGCTGAGCCTGAATCTCCGCCGTTGAAGCAGGCTCGTTCCGCGTCCCCTTCCCCCACCATCCGCTCCCCGTGTGGGTCACCTGGCAAAACGCCCGGAGCTCTGAAATCGCCAGGAGACCTAAAGTCGTTTGACGATTTGAAATCCGTCGAAAATGTCGGATTGAATGCTGCTGACGCTTCAGGAACAGATGGTGGGATGCAATGCGGATTCAGGTCGCATGGAGGTACTCATTTGCCAAGAAACGCCGATTCTATGAGCAGTAATCTTGATAAGCCAAAGTCTGAAGATGCTACTACTGCTGCTGGAGGAATCCTGCTCCCTGGAGAGGCGTCGGAGTATGTTGATGAGTCAGCACGAACGGATAAGGTTGATGCTGCTGACTCATCAGAAGCAGACGAGATCGATGCTGAATGGATGGAGGCAGCGGAGCAAGCGTTAGCTGCAGCAGAAGCTGCTGCGAGCGCTGCTGGTGCTGCTGCTGGCCACACTGCTGTCACTGGTGGGAATGAAGGTGTTTCTGCTTCTGCTGGTGTGTTTGCTGCTCCTTCCGTTGTGGCTGCTGTGAGTTGTGCTGCCGTATTTGTGGGCGCTGCGAAATTGCAGCAAGGAAGGGAGGATGGAGAAGGGACGAGCAGAGAAGCCATGCCTCCTCCTCCCATCGTTCCACTCCCTAAGTCCATGCCACCTCCCAACAGCGCATCTCCCAGACGTCCATTCAGCAAGTCTAACACGTCAGCAGCCGAACCGTTTCCAGCCACGTCAGCACACGGAGCTGACATGTCATCGCATAAACACGACGTGTCATCAGCACATGGCATGTCCCCGCATACTCCTGCGGTGCCTGCCTTTGGTCCGATCACATCACGCCACATGTCACCAGTGACCCCTCCATCGATGTACGTTCCATCACCAACCACTACCATCCAGCACATGCCGCCTGCCCCTTCACACCGCCACTTTGCCCCATCAGTTGCCCCCAGATTCACCACTCCTGTGAGTGACAGTACACCTACACATGCATTACATGCAGCAGCCCCTCCAGAGCAGGAATGTCTCAGGCAAGCTGGGATACCGCAGAAGCACGTAGCCACACGTTCTCCTCAACGAGAACAGGCAACAACTGCTGTTGGTCTTCAGCGTTCCACACCAGCCACACCAACCCCTATTCGCCCCTTTCCTCCCAACGTGGCACCTGCATCCTCGGTACAAGCAGCTCCAGTACCAGCCGGATCAGCGGCAGCAAGTTCAGTGTGCGGTTCATATACAAGTGGAGGTTACGTTGCAGGAAGTAGAGGCTTGTTGGATGCCAGAAGCGCATGCCCTGATGCTTCTGCTGCCGGCATCTCTTTGGAGGGGCAGGGTGCTTGGGCCTTGAGGCGGCATCTGGGCTCTGACTTAGGCCCAGGATGTCGTCTGTTTGAAACACCTGAAAAAGAACCTGGGGGGAGTTGGGCGTACAGCACGAGCAGAGCAGAGATTGCGGCAGGTGATGATGGGGAGGGGCAAGTAGGGAATTGCACAGGGATATGTCCAAGCGTGCAACCAGTGCAGGCGGAAGGCATGGCAGAGGTGGCAGCAGCAGCAGCATTGGCAGCACCAGAAGAGGCAACAGCGGCAGCAGAAACAACAGCAGCTAGAGAGGCGGCAACAGAAGCAGCTGCAACAGAATCTGCACTGGGTTCTCTGGGGTGGAGAGTGGTGAAGCCAAGGCTTGACTCGGATGGGCGCACTGGGGTGGGAGAAACGAGCATGCGGGAATATGGTGAGGCGATGGGGCATGTGAAAGTAGGTAGCGAGTGGGGTGAAGGGAAGGGATGTCTAGATAGAGATTCTGAAGACGTAGGAGGAGGCGAGGGTGGAGGAGCAGCAGGCAATGTGGTAGTTGCAGAAGCAGGAGCAGCAGGAGAAGTTGGAGATGCAGGAAAAGTAGCTGCAGAAGTGGAAGAAACAGAAGCTGCACCAGCAGCAATAGCAGCAAGAGAAGTGGAGGCAGTGGCACAAGTTGTAGCAGAAGTAGCAGAAGCAGGAGCGTGTGTAAGCGAGGAGGAGCCTTACTTGGCGCGGTTGAATGCAGAGCAGAGGGCAGCAGCAGCAGCAGATGTGGACCGACCACTGCTGGTGCTCGCAGGACCAGGAAGCGGCAAGGTTAGTCCTGTGTGGTGTGGTATGGTGTGGTTTGGCGTGGTGTGGTGTGGTGTAGTATGGTGCAGTGTGGCCCTGCAGCAGCAGCAGATGTGGACCGACCACTCCTGGTGCTCGCAGGGCTGAGAAGCGGCAAGGATAGTCCTGTGTGGTTTGGTGTGGTGCCTCGCATTCCTATCCCCCCTCTTCTCCCTCTCCCTCCCCCTCACACTCCTTCCCCCTCCCTCCACCAGAACTCAACCATAGTCGCTCGCATCCTGCATCTGCACCATGTGGGTGTGCTGCTATCAGCAGGCACCTCAAAACTCCGTCCACTCTCCTAGTCGCTCGCATCCTGCATCTGCACCATGTGGGTGTGCTGCTATCAGCAGGCACCTCAAAACTCCGTCCACTCTCCTCTCTCCTCTCCCACCTGTTCTCCCTCTCCCTCCCCCTTAGTCGCTCCGTCGCCCCTTCCCCCCATTCCCCCTTGCTTTTTCGCCCCCTCCACCAGACCTCGACCATGGTAGCTCGCATCCTGCATCTGCACCATGTGGGTGTGTCGTTATCAGCAGGCACCTCAAAACTCCTTCCACTTCCTCTCTCTCTTCCCCTCCTCCACCTCCTCTCTCCCTTTCCCCCCTTTCTCGCTCATTCCCCCCTTCCTCCAGACCTCGACCATGGTAGCTCGAATTCTTCATCTCCTCCACGTGGGTGTGCCAGCCAATCGCATCCTCGCAATGACCTTCACCACAGCAGCAGCCAATGAGATGCGTGAACGCGTGCTGGCCAGCCAAGGGAGGCGGTCGGCAGGCAAGAAGACTGGGGCAACTGGGAAAGGAAGGAGAGAAAACAAGGGAGGGGCGAGAAGTATGGTTGACAAGGAAGGAAAGGAGGATGAGGAAGAGAACGGAGGGAAGGAAGGGAAGGAAGGGAAGGAGGAGGAGGGAGAGGAGGGAGTGACAGGGGAAGTGGCAGTGAGCACTTTCCATTCGCTGTGCCTGCAGCTGTGCAGGAGCCATGCTGACAAGTGAGTTCTGTTCTTTGCTTTAAGGTTGAGGCGTGTTCGAAAAAGGGTGCGGTGCAATATGGTCGGGGACGGTGAGCGCGAGAGGTTGAATTCCTCAACTCCCTGTGCTTGCATCTGTTCAAAACCATCACAGGAAAGTGAGTTCTGAGGTAAAGGTGTCTTGCTTCCGCCCACCATCAACCCCCTCTTCACACCCACTCCCCTCTCAGGTTTGGGCGCACAGCGGATTTTCTTGTGCTTGGGCACAAGCAGCAGAGGAAGCCATCTCTCCTCAGTAGCCCACCTATTGTCTCCGCACAGCGGATTTTCTTGTGCTTGGGCACAAGCAGCAGAGGAAGCCATCTCTCCTCAGTAGCCCACCTATTGTCTCTGCCTTTCCCGCCCTCTCCTCCTGTCTGCACCCACTAACCAACCCCCTCTGCTCACTCATGTTCTCCCAGGTTTGGGCGCACAGCGGATTTCCTTGTGTTTGGGCACAAGCAGCAGCGGAGAGCCATCACTCACTTATCCACCTGCTGCCCACGCATTTCCTGCCCTCTCCTCCTGTCCCAGGTTTGGGCGCACGGCGGATTTCCTTGTGTTTGGGCACAAGCAGCAGCGGAGAGCCATTACAGAGGCTGTTCGACTGGCGCTGGGGGATGGGGGGGATAGCGTCGGGATAGGGGAGAAGGGCGAGAAGGGCGAGAAAGGGGAGAAAGGGGAGAAGAGGGAGGGAGAAGCGAGCAGGGGAGAGGGGGGTGTGTGGAAGCAGCGGAGAGAGGACAGGCAAGTTGGTCGAGACTGTAATGGAAGGGCATTTGCAGCAGCTGGAGGTGCAGGGACAGCGGGCGTGGGAGGGTCAGGCAGGTGGGCAGAGAAGGGGAATAAGGAGAATGAAGAAGGGAAGGGAGGAGGGAACAAGGGAGAGAGTGTGGAGGAGAGGGTGGGGAGGGAGGTGGAGGAGTTGAAGAGGAGCCGAGCAGCAGCAGCGAAATGGGTCAAGTTCGTTGTGAGGGTGAGTGACAAGGGAGTTTTGAGTAAGTACGTGGAAGTTCTGCCCTCCCCTCTATCTGTTACTCATGCAATGGAGTTAGAAGCTAACATCTCCCGTCCATTGTGGTCTCTGTCCTGTTCAGCTCCTCATGATGTGTTGCCTGATCCTAACCTTCCATCCAACATGCTCCCACATCCTCACCCCACTGCCCACGCCACCCAATGGCACACGATCCAGCCAAAAGTTAACGTATCAAGCGCATTCCTGTTTCTCTCCATCCCATTCGGTTCCACATGACATGCCGCTTGCACCTCACTTATTCTCACGCCCCCACCCTGTGGCCCCTCTCCCACTACCACAGGCCAAGGCAGCAGGTCAGACAGCAGAGACTTTTGAAGCTCGGGGCAACCAGGAAGCAGTAAGGCTTTATCTCTCACCATGCTCTGGTGGCTTCTGGTCCTTTCAACACTTTGTCGATTTTCAGGATAGCGCCCTCTTTCCCCTTCACCTGCTTGATTCCCCTCTCTCCTCTCCTCCCAAGCACGATTCTTGCATTGCATGTAGAGGCATGTCTGCTGCTCCAGGCAGTGTGTGTCCATCGCATTGCAATGCTGTGGTGGGACTGGACTGATTGCGCCCCTTCCTCCCCGTTACCTCCCCTTCTCCTTCCCTCCTTTTAGGCACGTGTATTGTGCTGTGCTCCAGGCAGCGTGTGTCCATTGCATTGCAATGCCGTGGTGGGATTGGATGGAATGCTGGTACCCCTCTCTCCGCTTACCTGCCTTTTACCTTCCCTTCTCCCAGGCCCGTGTCTTGCGAGCATATGCATCTGTGCTGGAGAAATGCAATGCGGTGGACTATCACGACTTCATCCTACTATCAACCATGCTGCTCACACAGCATGCTGACGGTGAGTGCTGGTTGCATGCTGGTTACTGGGGTGGTGTTGCGACCATGCAAAGCAAAGCAATGCGGCGGAGTGGACTATCACGACCTCATCCTGCTCTCCACCATGCTGCTCACGAAGCACAGTGATGGTGAGTGCTGGTTCCTGGGGTGGCTCTGCTAGCTACGATGCATGCAGTGATGTTCGGTGGACTGTCACGACTTCATCCCGCTCTCCGTCATGCCGCTCACGAAGCACACTGATGGTGAGTGCTGGTTCCTGGGGTGGCCCTGGGGTGGCCCTGGGGTGGCCCTGCTAGCTAGCTACCATGCATGCAGTGCCGTGCAGTGGACTATCACGACTTCGTCCTGCTCTCCGCCATGCTACTCGCACAGCACAGCGATGGTGCGTTTCAGTTGCATGCTGGTTCATGGAAAGGCACTGATGCTGATTATTAGTGGGTGTATGGGTATGAATGAAGGTGATCACTGAAGATGATCCTACTCTCAAGCAGTGATGCTGCAGACTATGTGACTTTTGAGTCGACTCAGAAGTCACCTGATTATTAGTGGGTGTATGAATGACGGGATGCCGATAATCGTATTTTCAAGCAGTGATGATGCGGATCATCATCCACTCTTTTTCCTCGCCCTTTTCTCCTGTCCCGTGTGCAATGCTTGTGGAACTTATGTTAGTATGGTCGCACGTACTGGTGGGCGAGTTTCAATACACCTTAACCAACCGCGTTGCACCTCTCAATACCTCCATTTCTCCCCTAACACACTGCTGCTGCAGTGCTGCAGGAATGCACGTCGTCAGCATGGACGCGCGTACTGGTGGACGAGTTTCAAGACACCTCGACCAGTTTCACCTGCAGCAATCACTCCCTTGCACCACTTTCTCCTCCTCTATTCCAGTGCTGCAGGAGTGCATGTCGTCAGGATGGACGCGCGTGCTGGTGGACGAGTTTCAAGACAGCTCCCGCATCCTTTCTGCGTCCACGAGGGTTGCAGCCACACCGTGCATCCATTTTTCTCCCCTCTTTCGCCCCTCCTATGCTGCTGCAGTGCTGCAGGAGTGCACGGCAGCATGGACGCACGTACTGGTGGACGAGTTTCAAGACACCTCGCGAATCCAGTTTTCGTTCGTCAAGGCTCTCTGCGGCACACATGGGCGCATCACCGTTGTGGGGGATGACGACCAGGTGGGTGTGAGGGGGGTTGATGACCAGGTGGGTGTGAGGGGGGTTGATGACCAGGTGGGTGTGAGGGGGGTTGATGACCAGGTGGGTGTGAGGGGGGTTGTTGACCAGGTGGGTGTGAGGGGGGTTGTTGACCAGGTGAAATGTATGGGGGGTGATGGTCCCAGACACCTCCCACATCCAATTCGCGTTCGTCAAGGCTCTCTGCAGCACTCACGGGCGCATCACTGTTGTGGGGGACGACGACCAGGTGGGTGTGAGGGCACAATGATCAGGGGCAATGAGAAGGGGTGCGTGGGATGGGAATCGGTCGTCAAGGCTCTCTGTCACTCACACGGGCGCATCACTGTTGTGGGGGACGACGACCAGGTGCGGTTGAGGGGTGTGATGACCGGTTCCTAAGGTGAGTGCAAAGGGAAGGACCAGTGGCCCAGACAAGTTCCAAGACACCTCGCGCATTCAGTTCGCGTTCGTCAAGGCTCTCTGCGGCACTCATGGGCGCATCACTGTTGTGGGGGACGACGACCAGGTGCGGTTGAGGGGTGTGATGACCGGTTCCTAAGGTGAGTGCAAAGGGGAGGGACCAGCAGCCCAGGTGCGGTTGGGTTGAGGGGTGTGATGACCGGTTGGTTCCTGAGGTTTGTGAGAAGGGGAGGGACCAGCAGCCCACACAAGCACACACATCCAGTTCGCGTTCGTTAAGGCTCTCTGTCACTCTCACGGGCGCATCACTGTTGTGGGGTGGGGTGTCAATATCCCGGTATCCCGGTATCCCGGTATCCCGGTTTCCCGGTTTCCCGGTTTCCCGGTATCCCGGTATCCCGGTATCCCGGTATTTCCGGTTTCCCGGTATCCCGGTATCCAGGTTTACCGGTATCCCAATATCCCTGTATCCCGGTATCTCGGTTTCCCGGTTTCCCGGTTTCCCGGTTTCCCAGTATCCCGGTATCCCGGTATCCCGGTATCCCGGTATCCCAGTTTCCCGGTGTCCCGGTTTCCCGGTATCCCGGTATCCCGGTATCCCGGTATCCCGGTTTCCCGGTTTCCCGGTATCCCGGTTTCTCGGTATCCGGGTATCCCGGTATCCCGGTATCCCGGTATCCCGGTTTCCCGGTATCCCGGTATCCCGGTATCCCGGTATCCCGGTATCCAGGTTTCCCGGTATCCCGGTATCCCGGTATCCCGGTTTCCCGGTATCCCGGTATCCCGGTATCCCGGTATCCCGGTATCCCGGTATCCCTGTATCCCGGTATCCCAGTTTCCCGGTTTCCCGGTTTCCCGGTATCCCGGTATCCCGGTATCCCGGTATCCCGGTTTCCCGGTTTCCCGGTAGCCCGGTTTCTCGGTATCCCGGTATCCCGGTATCCCGGTATCCCGGTATCCCGGTATCCCGGTATCCCGGTTTCCCGGTATCCCGGTATCCCGGTATCCCGGTATCCCGGTATTCAGGTTTCCCGGTATCCCGGTATCCCGGTATCCCGGTTTCCCGGTATCCCGGTATCCCGGTATCCCGGTATCCCGGTATCCCGGTATCCCGGTATCCCGGTATCCCGGTTTCCCGGTTTCCCGGTTTCCCGGTATCCCTGTTTCTCGGAATCCCGGAATCCCGGTCTCCCGGTATCCCGGTTTCCCGGTTTCCCGGTTTCCCGGTATCCCCATATCCCGGTATCCCGGTATCCCGGTTTCCCGGTTTTCCGGTTTTTCGGTTTCCCGGTATCCCGGTATCCCGGTTTCTCGGTTTCCCGGTTTCACGGTATCCCGGTTTCCCGGTATCCCGGTATCCCGGTTTCCCGGTATCCCGATTTCCCGGTATCCTGGTTTCCCGGTTTCCCGGTATCCCCATATCCCGGTATCCCGGTATCCCGGTTTCCCGGTTTACCGGTTTCTCGGTTTCCCGGTTTCCCGGTTTCCCGGTATCCCGGTATCCCGGTATCCCGGTATCCCGGTTTCCCGGTTTCCCGGTTTTCCGGATTCCCGGTATCCCGGTTTTTCGGTTTCCCGGTATCCCGGTATCCCGGTTTCCCGGTTTCCCGGTATCCCGGTATCCCGGTATTTCCGGTTTCCCGGTATCCCGGTATCCAGGTTTACCGGTATCCCGTTATCCTTGTATCCCGGTATCCCGGTTTCCCGGTTTCCCGGTTTCCCGGTTTCCCAGTATCCCGGTATCCCGGTATCCCGGTATCCAGGTTTCCCGGTATCCCGGTATCCCGGTATCCCGGTTTCCCGGTTTCCCGGTTTCCCGGTTTCCCGGTTTCCCGGTATCCCTGTTTCTCGGAATCCCGGTTTCCCGGTATCCCCATATCCCGGTATCCCGGTATCCCGGTGTCCCGGTTTCCCGGTATCCCGGTTTCCCGGTTTCCCGGTTTCCCGGATTCCCGGTCTTCCGGTTTTTCGGTTTCCCGGTATCCCGGTATCCCGGTTTCCCGGTTTCCCGGTTTCCCGGTATCCCGGTTGCCCGGTATCCCGGTATCCCGATTTCCCGGTATCCCGGTTTCCCGGTTTTCCGGTATCCCCATATCCCGGTATCCCGGTATCCCGGTTTCCCGGTTTCCCGGTTTCTCGGTTTCCCGGTTTCCCGGTTTCCCGGTATCCCGGTATCCCGGTATCCCGGTTTCCCGGTTTCCCGGTTTCCCGGTATCCCGGTATCCCGGTTTCCCGGTTTCCCGGTTTCCCGGTATCCCGGTATCCCGGTATCCCGGTATCCAGGTATCCCGGTTTCCCGGTATCCCGGTATCCCGGTATCCCGATTTCCCGGTATCCCGGTATCCCGGTATCCAGGTTTCACGGTATCCCGGTATCCCGGTATCCCGGTTTCCCGGTTTCCCGGTTTCCCGGTTTCCCAGTATCCCGGTATCCCTGTTTCTCGGAATCCCGGAATCCCGGAATCCCGGTTTCCCGGTTTCCCGGTATCCCGGTATCCCGGTTTCCCGGTATCCCGGTATCCCGGTATCCCAGTATCCCGGTTTCCCGGTTTCCCGATATCCCGGTATCCCGGAATCCCGGAATCCAGGTTTCCCGGTATCCCGGTTTCCCGGTTTCCCGGTTTCCCGGTTTCCCGGTTTCCCACTTTCCCAATTTCCCGGTTTCCCGGTTTCCCGGTATCCCGGTTTCCCGGTTTCCCGGTATCCCGGTTTCCCGGTATCCCGGTATCCCGGTATCACGGTATCCCGGTATCCCGGTTTCCCGGTTTCCCGGTTTCCGGTATCCCGGTATCCCGGTATCCCGGTTTCCCGGTTTCCCGGTATCCCGGTTTCCCGGTATCCCGATATCCCGGTATCCCGGTTTCCCGGTTTCCCGGTATCCCGGTATCCCGGTTTCCCGGTATCCCGGTATCCCGGTATCCCGGTATCCCGGTATCCAGGTATCCCGGTTTCCCGGTTTCCCGGTGTTCCCGTATCCCGGTATCCCGGTATCCCGGTATCCCGGTATCCCGGTATCCCGGTATCCGGGTTTCCCGGTATCCCGGTATCCCGGTTTCCCGGTTTCACGGTTTCCCGGTTTTCCGGTTTTTCGGTTTCCCGGTATCCCGGTATCCCGGTATCCCGGTTTCCCGGTTTCCCGGTTTCCCGGTATCCCGGTTTCCCGGTATCCCGGTTTCCCGGTATCCCGGTATCCCGGTATCCAGGTTTCCCGGTATCCCGGTATCCCGGTATCCCGGTTTCCCGGTATCCCGGTATCCCGGTATCCCGGTATCCCGGTATCCCGGTATCCCTGTATCCCGGTATCCCAGTTTCCCGGTTTCCCGGTTTCCCGGTATCCCGGTATCCCGGTATCCCGGTATCCCGGTTTCCCGGTTTCCCGGTAGCCCGGTTTCTCGGTATCCCGGTATCCCGGTATCCCGGTATCCCGGTATCCCGGTATCCCGGTATCCCGGTTTCCCGGTATCCCAGTATCCCGGTATCCCGGTATCCCGGTATTCAGGTTTCCCGGTATCCCGGTATCCCGGTATCCCGGTTTCCCGGTATCCCGGTATCCCGGTATCCCGGTATCCCGGTATCCCGGTATCCCGGTATCCCGGTATCCCGGTTTCCCGGTTTCCCGGTTTCCCGGTATCCCTGTTTCTCGGAATCCCGGAATCCCGGTCTCCCGGTATCCCGGTTTCCCGGTTTCCCGGTTTCCCGGTATCCCCATATCCCGGTATCCCGGTATCCCGGTTTCCCGGTTTTCCGGTTTTTCGGTTTCCCGGTATCCCGGTATCCCGGTTTCTCGGTTTCCCGGTTTCACGGTATCCCGGTTTCCCGGTATCCCGGTATCCCGGTTTCCCGGTATCCCGATTTCCCGGTATCCTGGTTTCCCGGTTTCCCGGTATCCCCATATCCCGGTATCCCGGTATCCCGGTTTCCCGGTTTACCGGTTTCTCGGTTTCCCGGTTTCCCGGTTTCCCGGTATCCCGGTATCCCGGTATCCCGGTATCCCGGTTTCCCGGTTTCCCGGTTTTCCGGATTCCCGGTATCCCGGTTTTTCGGTTTCCCGGTATCCCGGTATCCCGGTTTCCCGGTTTCCCGGTATCCCGGTATCCCGGTATTTCCGGTTTCCCGGTATCCCGGTATCCAGGTTTACCGGTATCCCGTTATCCTTGTATCCCGGTATCCCGGTTTCCCGGTTTCCCGGTTTCCCGGTTTCCCAGTATCCCGGTATCCCGGTATCCCGGTATCCAGGTTTCCCGGTATCCCGGTATCCCGGTATCCCGGTTTCCCGGTTTCCCGGTTTCCCGGTTTCCCGGTTTCCCGGTATCCCTGTTTCTCGGAATCCCGGTTTCCCGGTATCCCCATATCCCGGTATCCCGGTATCCCGGTGTCCCGGTTTCCCGGTATCCCGGTTTCCCGGTTTCCCGGTTTCCCGGATTCCCGGTCTTCCGGTTTTTTCGGTTTCCCGGTATCCCGGTATCCCGGTTTCCCGGTTTCCCGGTTTCCCGGTATCCCGGTTGCCCGGTATCCCGGTATCCCGATTTCCCGGTATCCCGGTTTCCCGGTTTTCCGGTATCCCCATATCCCGGTATCCCGGTATCCCGGTTTCCCGGTTTCCCGGTTTCTCGGTTTCCCGGTTTCCCGGTTTCCCGGTATCCCGGTATCCCGGTATCCCGGTTTCCCGGTTTCCCGGTTTCCCGGTATCCCGGTATCCCGGTTTCCCGGTTTCCCGGTTTCCCGGTATCCCGGTATCCCGGTATCCCGGTATCCAGGTATCCCGGTTTCCCGGTATCCCGGTATCCCGGTATCCCGATTTCCCGGTATCCCGGTATCCCGGTATCCAGGTTTCACGGTATCCCGGTATCCCGGTATCCCGGTTTCCCGGTTTCCCGGTTTCCCGGTTTCCCAGTATCCCGGTATCCCTGTTTCTCGGAATCCCGGAATCCCGGAATCCCGGTTTCCCGGTTTCCCGGTATCCCGGTATCCCGGTTTCCC